AACATTTTCAAAAATCTGAGTTATCCCTTTAAATACATATAAAAATACCTTCAGTTTCCTGAAGATATATGTAAGAAAGACCTGTAGAAACAATTAAACAAATTTCCAATAAATGAGCCTGCAACTCCTGAATACATTAAAAATGCACTTAGTCTCATGTGATATATCATTTGGTTTTCCAAAAATGATCCAGTTTATAATAAGGTACTATTGAAATATTCCTGCCCAAGAAGTGTCAGAAAAGCATTAGCATTACTAGGCAGCCACACGGTCTCAAAATAAGCATAGTGTAGATATACCTCATTTAACAGAGTCCTTTAGCCTGACTGTTTCATTAATCAAAACCTGAAATTTAGCCTGAATAAGAACTGGTGTTGTGGAATTCCTATATCAGCTATGACTCTGCAATATACTTGTTTGGAAAACACTGCGTTGTCCTACACTATATCTTTGTTTTCCTTGATGGATTTTCATTCAGGCTACTGCAACTATTTGCATATTACATTGACCAGGCAGATGTTTCCATGCTTAGTTGCAGCAAAACAAAGCCCTTCAAACACTTCAGAGCTTCTTCAGAGCTTACTGAAAATTTTGGAAAAAAAAAGAAGAAAAAAAAAAAAAAAGAGTGGACTACAAAACATATTTGCAGTGTGTGCATATATAAAGTCTTAGAAAAGTGAAAATTAATTATTTAATACCTTTGAATATTTTTATTCCATCTTGAATACTTGAATATTTTCAAGTATTTTCTAACTTAAAATTTCAAAATAAGAGATTTACTTGTGTCAGCTCTTTTTAATCGTCAGATTCAAGTTAACTAGCATGAGATTAATTATAGTTCCCAAGTCCACCAGACTATTTTTCCTATATGTGATGAGCATGGAATATTGTCACTAAGATCTCTACGAATCTGACTCACTAACATCTTTAGGAATCTGACCTAATAGTTTGATACTTTTTTGGCAGTTTATCATGTGAAGTGTGTAAAATTTAAAACATTCACACTAAAAATAATCCCTTAAAATATTTTTTCAAATTATTTCAGAGCCTGATAACTATGAGAAGAAATAGCCAACTTTTTCAATCCTTTCACAACAAAAGTAATAGAATGATAATGTTAGGCCCTACTTCTCAAGGAAAAAGTAATACATCTTAATTAAACAGCATAGAGATGAGCAAATAATGGTGAAGTTTTGCCAGAAAAGGGTTCATCTGAACAACAGGTGTGGCATAGCCCAGTGTATAGTAATGAAATATTCTGCTTAGCTGATACAGAACTTGTGAGGAGCTCAATTGAGTAAAAATGTCCCCAGATTAATAATTAGATTATTATGGATAGCAAAGTCTCTCCTGTGAGGAAAGGCTGAGAGAGCTGGGACTTTTTAGCATGGAGAAGAGAAAACCTGGGGGGGATATTATCAATGTCTATAAATACCTAAAGGGAGGGTGTACAGAAGATGGAGCCAGGCAATTTTCAGTGGTGTCCAGTGCCAGAAAAAGAAGCACTGGGCACAAGCTGTAACAGAAGAGGTTCCCTCTGAACACCAGACAGCACTTCAGTACTGTGCGGGTGATGGAGCACTGGCACAAGCTGCCCAGAGAGGTGGTGGAGTCTCCTCCTTGGAGATTCTCAAAAGCCACCTGGAAGTGGTCCTGGGCACCCTACTCTACAGGGCCTTGCTTGAGCAGGGGTTGGACCAGGTGAACCCAGAGGACCATGCCAACATCAGCCATTTTGTAGTTTTTCCACTTTCGGTCACTGTCAGTGAGAATATAGACTAAGTAGATCTTTGGTGTGACTCTTGTTTTTATGGTATTTTCTACTATTTTTTCTGTAATTGGAATTGTATTCCATTGCATTGTTGAAGACTCTATGCTGAAGGGACTGTGCATGTGTTTTCCAAATGCCTAGCATAAAGGGGTACAAGTCTTTGGTAACTCATAGGTGCTGCCCTATAAAAATAACAATAACATGATTAATAACATACACTATGCATTTTTCCTCTTCTAAAGTAAACCTGTGGGGTTTTTATTTATCAATGCAAGGAAATAAAAAAGAGCTTCCATTCAAGCAATGGGATTGGAATTCAAGGGTAAACTTGGACATTGAATCAATGTTCATGTAAGCATGTGATCTGCAAGTTTATTGAATCTAATATAAACTAGGAGATTTGGGCTCCACCCTAATACCTCAATCTACACACAACTTTTAGTATTGTAATTTTAGCAGGCCCAGGTCCTTCAACCAGATCACAATGCACTAATGTTCTCTGTGCAATCTTCAATTAATATGGTTTTTGTGTATTTTTTTTGTTTGTTTCTTTGAAAAATTACAAAATTACTCAAAAGTTAAATGAGATATGTACTTCAGTAACATGGCTATGAATTTGGATTTCAGTTTAAGCATGTTTTGATAACATTCTATGATAAAGCAGTCTGTTTCCAACTCAGGGAAATTCCTGTGCAGTTGGAAAGATATGCCAGTGAAATGTTTCTCACACCTTTCTTATGCCTCAGCTAGTGGTTGAAGGTGCAGGACATCTAGGACATGCTAGACATCTGGTAGGACTCAGAAAAGCTGCTCCTTTGGTACACTGTTATGTAACACTGACGTGTTCATAAGAAATTTGCTCTTTTTCCCCTGATGATTTCATCAACTAAATCAAAGTTTCAGATGACATGGCCCCTTAAACTTATGATACATGATTACGTTACTTAAATAATTCAATATTGTTGACATGAGATGAGATGAATTGTTTTATGGATTAATTGATGGGTGACCTTCATGTTTATCATAATGAAATAGAAATGAATTGCCATTTTGTTTGATCATCTTGACCATTCTTCTAGAATATGTTCTATTATTTTCGTGCCATAACTCTTAATTGACCTATATTCTCCTTTTCAAAATCTTCTTGCTTAAGAAAATAGATGTAAGGTTTCTCTTACCAGGCTAGCAAATGAAGTGTAATAGCCTGTAGTAATTTTTAACATTAATTTCAGTCACTTTCTAGCTGCCTGCTTTTAAAAGTTATATGGCTTATCAACATATATGGTACATCAGTGTCTAAATTTCAGTCTTTACCAAGGGCTCTTATAACAGATGTCACTACTGTCACTAATGCCCTTCATACTTGTGATAGCTAATAAATAGTGGAATTTCTTCTTTAAGGACTTATAACATTATGTTTGTGCCTACATTGTAGAGCATATTTCTATTAAAATTAAAGTGGCCATCTATCAGAAAAGAATTTAAGTATTTCCTGTGTTCTTTACCTTATAATAATTGTATATATATATATATATATAAAAAATAAATAAATAAAGTAAATTGGTTGATTTTGCTTCATGTTTAAATTGGTATAAAGAACTTCAAACAAAATTTTTGTATCATCTTCTGGTAATAGTCATGCTGCAGAACAAAATATATCCCAAAGTTACAGGGCTTATACCTGGGCTTTTATACATTATGTTTTGAATTCTCACATTTATTTAATATTTTACAGTTCTGTGGGGCAAAATAATTATTCCAAAATATTTACTTGCTAGTAAATCTTCTTTCAGACTTCTGTCGTAAATGCAAGAGCAGAACTTCCTGCAATCTGAAGGCACTGGACACTGTTTTTATTCTCCTCCTTAAGGCCAGAAGCTTGTGTTTTGGCATTCAATTAAAAATAGAACAAAGTGGACTGCTCTGAAGAACTGCAGCCAGTGTCTGCTATTTGCCTAAGTTGTGTTAGCTCTTGGCAGTGAATAAAAGCTCCAGGAATGGCACAGCTCTTTGAATCAAAAAAGATCTCTCAGCACACTAAAAACAGTGGGGTTTTCCCGCCTGGCATCCCTGCTAGACCTGCAAAGTCACTGGACAGGCACTGCAACCTGTGAAGCAAAGCAGTCTTAAACACAGAAGTTAAAAATCCTGCCTTCTCTGATATGCATGGCAAAAATCCCAATGGAGACAGGATTTCACCATGTTTATCCAGGCTCCAAGATACTCCTTTATGTTTACAGGATCCCACTATGCAAAGAACTTCTATAAAAGTTTCTTTGACAGCAATTTCCCATCTACCAGCATAAAAGCTGATCCTGGCTTGTTTTGGCACAAATGTTAGCAGCCAGAAAAAGCAAGGGTTGCACTCACCAAACCAAGACTAGAGAAGCATGAACATAGAAAATAACACCATTTAACCACCTCTCCTAGCACGGGCTTTCATAAAAAAGCTTATCCAGCTTATCCAAAGATCTGGACAATTTCTTCTAAAAAGCTTCTAAGAATTGAGAAATACTTCTCCAATATGCTATGTGTTAGAGAATTCATGCAAGTGTGGGGTGATATAAATGTTTTGTTAACACTCATTTAGGATTACCTTACATTACTCATAATTGGCAAAAACACAGGCAAGTCACGTGGTCATCCTAAATGCACACCAAGAGAGTGTTCATGCTACAATGCACCAGTAAGGCCATCAGCGAGGCAAATACAAAATAGTTGACAAGAATGACTAGCTTCTGGAATGTAACTCTGGCTCCTGATATCTATTAATTTCTGCACTCTGCAAGGGCTGGCATGTTTGTGAAGCAGACCGGCATACCACAGGAAAAAAAAAAATGACATTTTCTTTTGTTTGCATGACATGAAGATGAAAATTTGATTTGAGGCTATTTAAGTCTAATCAGCAAGTAAATACGACAGGCAGGCTTAGCAAACTTCTGAGCATAGGAAAAATGAAAAACAAGATGCACAATTCTGTAACCTAATGGTATGCTTATGTATCAGCCAAAAGCCTCAACAAAGCCTCAAGTCACAGAAAAACAATTTTAATAAAACTGTTTATTCTAGACTGTTGAATTAACTAGGACATAGTAAGCAAATCTAGTATGTGAAGTTATGAGGCTTGCGATACAGCTCTTTTATGTTCAAAAGAACCCAATGGTAAATGTGAATCTGTAAACAATTATGGAGAGGAGGAGTGCTCTAACAAACCTTTTCCTTTCTACAGCCCTTCTAAACTCCACACCCACTTCTTCTGCTGACATGTTGAACACCTGTGTGAGATGGTGCTTTTGAAAATGGGTACCAGAATAATATTGGTATGTTGATCTTTTTTCTTTAGTGACTCCCTCTTTTGCTGCATACTTACCTTTCTTGGCACATTTGGATGTCCTGCTTTGAGTCATGAGTATATTTTTTCTGAATAATCTCATGCACAGTTGCTCAGATTTTTTATGAGCCTGCCACAATTTTGTCCCAAACAGCATAGCTGCTAATGTATGAAAGAGAGGCTGAAAGGGATAGACCTGCAATTTGTTTGTGGCTGAAAGGAAAATAAAAAATGAAATAGATTATAGTAGTTTATTGTTTTACTGTGGCTAGATGATTAATCCTGCAAGAAAAGGGAATAAACTGAATGTCATAAATGCAATTGTGACTAGATGTTGGAAAATGAGAACATTCTGTGACAAAAAGCTAAAACATTAATTCTCAGGAATGATATTACTTGTGATTTTCTCTTGTCCTCACATACATAGGATTCCTTTCTTGCTTTTTCACTCTCAGTTATTTATGATTTTCTCACCTTTATAATCTTGCCTATAATCTTGCCTATTTCATATGAAGATCATCTTCTGACTGGTAGGTTCTGTAACAATGACATTGGCAACACTTTATGAAAGTAAAGTAGTTCCAGAATACTTCACTTTACAGAAATGTAACACCTTTGAAATTCAGACACTGCTGGGGGTGAGGACAAGAGTCAGGACAATGATCAAAATTCTAGACAGAGGCAAAGGGCAAACCATTATTGCTACTAAGGGTCCCACTGCATTATTAATGCTCATGCAAAAATTAGAAAACAGATTTATTTTTTTTTTATGCTCTCATTGTGCAAGATTAGGCACAATTACATTGAAAACATTCAGTTTGTTTCCTTTGAATGATGAAGATTCTGAGTGGCTGAATCAGCAAGAACATTTGAACCTGTGGTGCCAGTCTAAGCTTGCTGTATTAAGATGCCTCTTTCCTGATTATTTTTACCTTTGTTATAAAAGTTTTATTTCATAAATGTGCAAAACTAGCTGTACTCTATGACCTGTCCCAAGTTGTAGGATACAAGATGCATAAACAGATTGACTGAAGAACTCCATTGGTGCAAACAGGAATTCACATGTTTTATAATTACAGGATTCAAGGAAAGCAAACAAAAACTACCATGTACTGCAATCTTATTATGTATTTACCATATTTATAGGTAACTTGATTTTCAAAATGTATTGGTTCAGTAGAAGTTTAAACAGTGAGTTAGTGTTTATTTAGATTGACCTAAGCAGACTGGGACACATTTCCTATAACTCTGAATCTCAACTATGTAGACACTTGCGTTTGAATTAATTGTATTCATCCACTGTTTTAGGAGAGAGGAGGAAACTTTCAAGGCATAATTTCTCTCATCTATTTTAAATGCTTGTTTTAAGAGGAGAAGAATCATACTCTGCTGATGATAGAGGTGAATCACACAGAATCAGATTTAGATAGACGGATGATACCTTCTGCAAAATGTCAGAGAAACAAAGTATCTGATTGCTCAAGGGAAGAAGCAGAAGACTTAAAAATGGAGTGCCCTCTCCTTTAAGAAAACCTTCAGTATTTTAACACAACTTTTAGCAGTAACTATGCAGCATTTATCTTGGGGTACACACTTTCACAGAAGCTCAGCGATGGGGATACTTACTAACATGAGACAGGGATCCAGTTTCAGTTTACATTTTCTGAATTAGAATAAGAGTTTGATGGTATGTCTTTCGTGCTCTAAGAAATGTCACAAACATCAAGTAGTTTGGGAGGATTATTCCTCAGTCTGGTGGTTTAAACATCTCTTTTCCATGGTCTTATTCAGCATCATGGTCATAGGACCAAAAAATCAAATTCTCACATTTTGATGGTGTGTGTGTTTGTGCATGTCTGTCTCTATCTCCTTTCCTAATCATTCAATGTCTGATTTAGCTTGGACAAGGCAGGGATGATAAGGGCAGGATGAATGGCTAAAACAATGAGTTTTTGAATAAAATAAGAAATAAAGTCTCTTCTAAATCTAGTTTCAGCCCAAACTTTTTTTTTTTTTTTTTTTTTTTTTTTTCTTTATGAAGGTCTTGCCTAGTGAGTATGCTTTCAGAGCATCTTCAGGACATGACAGAACAGATGAGTGCAGAAATCTGTTCAGGTGAATCTCAGCATGACAGAATTTGAGAGGAATTGCAAATGCCCAACAGCATATAAAGCAAGTGTTATTTTAGACAAATACACACATTCTGGATCACAGTGAATTTGAGCATTTATTCTTCAGAGTTCCTATTCTCCAAAACATCAACTAACATGATTGCAATTTTCCCTCTGTCAGAGGAGGCAGTTTTTTCATTGCCTTCTTCACAGATATGTTGGTGTTAGATTACTGATAGCTGTTTTAATCACAGTAGGTTACTAACCAAATTACCTTATACAGAATTCAACTATTCTGTTTTATATTCTCAAATATAACTGCATAAAGCAGTAAAATATGCCAATTATAAGGGAAAATCATGTGGTACATATATTAAGAAGTGGCACTTTAAAATTTTCATGTATGAAAATCAATGACAAAGTAATATGGATTTTACTGGGAAAAGAAACAAGCCAAAATGACAATTCTTCACCTTTAAACCTGATTTCTGAAGATCGGATCTGGAAGACTAATATGTTACTTAATATGTTCATTAGTAGTAAAATTGTAATTTCACTTTGAGGAGCCTTGTGACAGTAAGCAGCTAATTCAGCACATTGGAAACAATCAGCAAATAATTGAGTAGAGAATTGACAGGTTATTGAGAGTTGACATTATAAGAATCCTGTGATATTTTACTTCTACTTTAGGTGGTGTGACTTATAAAAGCTAAGGTGCAAGTTAGAAAATACGGAAACAGTAACATTTTCATACTCTTTATTAACATCAAAAGAGTGTTTTAGGATTAGCAGCAGCCTACGGAAATTCATCAAAATAATAATTATTTTTTTTTTAGTAGAGCTCTTATCATTATTGCAATTAATTTCAGTTTTGTTTTACTCTTTGAAGGAGAAATATGATTATTATTCATCATTCAGAACAACCCAATATGCAAACTAATCAGAGTCAAGAGTCCTTTCATGAGTGCATATGCATTCTAGTTAGGTGGTGAGAGTGACACCTCTTTCTATAATCCAGATTTTATTTCATTTATTTTTGAATCTTTGCTTTTCTGTAGTTAAGGCTAAGTTGTGGCAAAGTTTGTGTCTTTAAGGAAGCCTCTTTGATTTTGAAGTTCAGTGCACTGAGAAATGAATGATAAATTACTGATTTAAAGGCAAAGTTTCAGTTTTTAGAATAAGCAGCTTTGTTTTCTAAACACAAGCTCTTTTGGTGTGCTCAGAAAAGTAAAAATACCTCAGATAACTACTACTTTTCATTTCCCCCTTTTCTATTGTGGTGTCCTTAGAGACACTACATTATTTCAGTTCTTTTTGGGGGACTTTATAGTGAAAAACAACCCTGGCAGAGGGCAGTGTAACACTGGCATAGCTGCATGCCATATTTTTTCCATTTTGCACAAGAGAATGAATATAATTTAAAAGGTTTATCAGACACTGGGTAAAGTGCCAAATCCCAGACAAGCCTTTTCTGAAGTCTGCACGTGCCAGGAAGGTAATGGATAATGGATTGGTAGTAAACTGTCATGCCAGGGGAAAATACTGGCTTGACACAGAAGTCCCAAAAGGAAAAAGAAAAGCTGTAGCTTAGGAAGGCTATTGCCAACAAGCAATGAGATCAAGTAAGTGAATGCAGCTGCCAAGCAGCAATGTTTGTGACATTTTAATGGGTGTGAGTCTGTTTTTCTAATTCTAGCTTTCCTAACTGAATAATATACCAATGCTAATTTCTCCAATCAGGCATCTTGAGTTGCCTTCTCAGTGATCCTGTGATCACTAAACAGAAATCATAGGAAAGGCAAGGATGAGATTTCATTGTTGTGATTTCTCACAGGGCTGGATAAAACACAGAGGTCTTACACAGAAGGAAAAATTCATTCTCCCCCCCCCCACCCCAGGATAATTTTTTCATAGAGAGCTACAGTTACATTCATGCTCATTCTTTATGTAACACAATCCATATTTTCATATTTCAGGTATGAAACTTATTTCGTATTTGAAGTATGTTTACCATGCCACAAAATAGTGCTGATCCTTCTGCTGAACTAGAATTAACTGTGTCTTTAGGTTGCTATTCTGTGACCAGAGAGAAATTACATAGGTTTTTGGCTGATGTGTTATAGCCCTACATTAAAAAGCTAAAAAAAAAATAAAATAAATTAAACAGTGGAAAGACACAGACATATAAACTTTTAATATGGCAGTAATCTTTTTATTTATTATAGATAGGGACACTATGATATGGTAGTGTATAATGTGTGAAATTCAATTCTCCCCAACTGAAGAGAGTTTTCAAACTGCACTCAGAACCAAATTTATAGGAAATGAAAAAGCTGTGAAAACTAGGAGAAAGATTTTGGAAAAATACTAGCTTTATCTTTTTCTAAGACTTTTGCAGGTCTTCTAATACAAGTCAACAATATGCTTTAACTTTATTAAAAAAAAATTTGATTAAAAATTTTACTTAAAAATTACTCTGTTGCCTTCTACATATATTGCAGGCACAGAAGCCTTTTTTTTTTTTTTTTCTTTCCCCACCAGCCAAAGAAGTCCAAGGAGAACAAGAATAATCTAGACTCTACCTAGAACTTGAGATATGAACTAGATTTTCCATTCTACCAAATATTTCCAGGCAATTCCAGAATATATTTCTTAGTTTCTGTCACACTTCAGCTTGGCTCAACAGTGTTCACATATCTTACAAGACAGTAGTGAGGAAAACTGCAGAAAATGCTGTGGGGAGCTCAACTCTACAATCATGCACAGGGTATGGACATCTTATACATGTATAAAATCTTACTGATCTCATGGTATGGTATGGAGAGCCATATATATAAGAGGTACTTGTGGGTTGGCTTTAATGTTAAGTGGTAACACA